GCATATAGTTCTCTTCTATAGAAATGTTGCTTTTATAAAGTTTTCTATTAAACTTTCATCTACACTTATGTCAGGCAATGATATACATTCTATGTGTGCAATACCATAGGTACATGTATTCTTTTTTTTATTTTAAAGATGTGGTGTTCAATTCAGGATTAGGTATTCAAGTGGTCATCATATAGCTGAAGTTTGGGCCTCCCTTTGGTTCCCACTTTCCCCAGTTTGAAATCAGGTGCCCTTGTTGATGTTGTGCCCCAACTTCACCCCCACCCCGGCAGTATCCTGTTATTGCCAACCCCTTTCTTATAGTATTATGGTAAATGTTCAGGGTCCACTTATGAGTGAAAACATGTGGTAATCATTTCGTTGTTTCTGTGATAAATCATTGAGTGTGATAGACTCTAAACCCATTCACGTTGCTGTGAAGTTCAAATGTTTGTCCTTCTTTATGGCTGTGTAATTTTCCATTGTGTATATGTACCACATTTTATTTAGCCAGTACAGTTTTGATGGGCAACACAGTTTGTTCCATGTTTTTGTTATTATGAACAGTGCTGCAATAAACATGTGTGTGCAGGTATCTTTTTTGTAGAATGATTTGAGTTCCTCCAGGTATATTTCCAGTAGTGGGATTGCTGGGTCATATGGAAGGTCAATTTCTAGTTCTTTCAGAAATTGCCATACTGTTTTCCAAAGAAGTTGCACCAGTTTGCATTCCCACCAGCAGTGTAGAAGAATTCCTTTCCCCCCACATCCTTGCCAGCATCTGTTGTTGCTTGTTTTATTAATGATGGCCATTCTTACTGGAGTTCGATGGTATCTCAATGTGATTGTGATTTGCATTTCTCTGATGATTAGTGAGGCTGAGCACTTTTTCATGTGTCCGATGGCTACCTGTATATCTTCTATTGAGATGTGTCTATTTATGTCTGTTGCCCACTTTTTAATGGTGCTGTTTGTCCATATATTCTTGATATATAATCCAGTTATTCCCTAATAACTCCCTTACCTCTGTACAATTCTTCCATACTTTAGCTATTAAGCTATTATCTAAGAGTGGCCATTTTCTATGTCTATTTCATAATGATTGTCAACTCCCTATGCCTATATGATGTCTAAATTTAACTTATTTTCTAATGCTAACACTTCTATTCTTTTTAAATCTGTTATTAGTACCATATGTTTTACCAACACTTTAAAAAATCTCTAGACAGGATTTAGGCATCTTGCTTTCAAGTCTGACTTATTTCTCTTATCATAAATTCCTAAGTAACCATAGCTGATCATTCTTCTTTCCTCATGTTATTATTTTAGTCATTTAATCCCCAATGTTGATTCGTTCATGAAATACAAACTTTCTTTCCGTTCTTTTATTATTCAAAGTCCAAAAAGCACTACTCCAGGAATTAAGAGACATAGAATTACACTCCACTCTCATGGAGTTATGCTCAGATAAAGAAAAACTACCTAAAAGGAATCCTGGGGAGTAAAGACAAGGACAACGATTCATCCCTAATACAGTGAACACCAAATACATACACACACACACACACACACACACACACACACACACACACACACACATATAACTGAATCAGCTTGAGGCTATTTCTAAATTCTGGGTGTTATAATTTTTAAACTATCCACATTCACACTGTTGCCAATGTTCAAATCAGAAACATAAAAGAAATTACAATCTTATTTTATGGAGAGTTGGTTAGACTAATCATTTATAAAATAAATATTTATAATATTATATAATATTTATAATATTCCTGCTATTTACCACATAGCAGGAAAGGTACTTGCTACACAAGTCCCTTTTGAGAACTAATGGAGGAGAAGATTTCTCCAGTTGGCAAGTTCACATCAAAAGGTAGGGCCAAACAGTGGCCGAAGAGAAAGTTGAGTGTCTACTTTTCGGAGTTCACAGAGGGAGGAATGATGAAGGAGCTAGTCTTGGAGTAAGAAATAGCCCAGGTGTTTCTTAACTTCTTTATACACTTATATCTGGCTCTTAATACCAGTTTCTAGATGTCCCTTACTGGACCAGACTGCCATTACCAGAGGCTTTAAGTTGATGGAGTCCCTAATTCCAGTGCCTGGTAGCCTATGAAAATGGATCCGCTAGGGAAACATCCACAATCTATTGTTATGTATACTTATTTTCCAGAAGCTCTAACCTAGAATGTTGCATTTCCCCCAAGGAGCCAGCAGTTAGATACTAGGTTATCACCAACCTAGTACTATCAATAAGGCACATAATGGGCAAAGTAGGCTTTTTTTTTTTTGAGTTGGAGTCTCACTCTGATGCCCAGACTGGAGTGCAGTGGCCGCTCCCGGCCACCACAGCCTCGACCTGCTGGACTCCGGTGATCCTTCCGCCTCAGCCTTCCAAGTAGCTGGAACTACAGGCATGCGCCACAATGCCCAGCTGATTTTTTTATTTATTGTAGAGATGAGGTCTCGCTGCCCAGGCAGGTTTCAAACCCGTGGGCTCAGGCAATCCACTCACCTCAGCCTCCCAAAGGCGCGGGATTACCGAGCCTGGCTCAAAATAGGCTTTTATGCACTTAGCCACTGTTTGCAACACCGTTTCTGGAAAAAGTAGAGAATTCCAAATAGCCAATTAATGTCATATCATAAAATCTATTTCTAAGCTGGAGACAGCTTGTATAACCTTCCCATTGCACATACAGCAACTTTTCATATGAATAAAACAATAAATAAAGAGAAGTAACTTTAGTCAAAAAATCCTGGCAAATACCATCTCAATTATGTAATCAAGGTTAGTATCAGTGACCATTCATGCTGACAGCAGCACAGACTCCATACTCTTGACTGGATTTACTGTTGTATAAACTTCCTGTTAAGAACTTATTGACATTAGACTATTTTTAAAAAAATGTATTAGACAAATCACAACTGGGAGACTTTCTACAAAATACTTGACAAGAACTCCTCAAATTAAGATAATGAAAAACATGGGAGGTCAGAGAAATCGCCACACACCAGTGGAGGCTAAGGAGACATGACAGTTAAATGCAATATGGTATCCTAAATGACACTGTAGGGGTGTAAAGGGTGTGATGCCTTTCCTCCTTTATGAGAGAGAGTCATAACAAAAGATAGGTTAAAGAGAGGAAAACAGCAAGTTTGGTCACCATTATGTGACATGGGAGATTTCCAACTGAATACTCAAAGACCTTGAGTGAACTATAGTGTGAAACATGAATGATTGGGCAGAAAAATGACTGGACAAAAAGACGATGGGCTAATAGCAGTAGACTGAAGGACATGTGGAAGAACCCAGTAATGCCTGTCTGTTCAGACTCTTCTTGGCATGTTTAGCATTTTTTCCTTCCAGGTATACGTCAGGATCTTCTCTGGAATGGAGTTCTTATGACCTACCATCAAACGAGGTAGGATAGAAAATTTCTTTATGGTCAGTTCTTACACAGAAAGGCAGGGAAAAGAGTAGCATTTCCAGGTTTTTATGACTGGTGTCGGGTGAACAGTTGTGCTGTTGTTGACGACCTCCTTGGAGAAGAGGTATCCTTGTTTCTATGGTTTGTTTTGGGGGAAAGTGAGGATGAGGAAAAGAACGGTGGAGAAGATCACTATGGGTATCATTTTCTAAGCCCCAATAGGAAGAAGAGGACTATAAAAGAACATTAGGGAAAAATTGGTGGAATTTGAAAAAACATGGTTAGTTAATAATGTATGAATGTTAGTTATGAAGAAGGTTCCACAGTAATGTTAATGGGGATACTAGGGGAGGAGTACAGAGAAACTATTATTGCAATTTTACTGTAAATCCATTCCAAAATAAAAATTTTAAGAGTATTCCAGGTTAACTTCCTTTTTATTGATACTTTTCAGAAAATTAAGCATGCAAAAGAGTAGCTTTTCAGTTCTCACTTCCCTTTTGGCATTGAGCAACAAGATCAAGTTGCATCAAATTGTCAGCAACGAAGAAGGAGAAAACAGATTCCATAGCTGCTGGCACCTTTTGGTTAAGAGCAACGATCCAGTCTCTGATGTGTCATCCAATGATTGGCTCTTACTTCTGGCTTTTGTCTTTGGCAGTGATGCCATGAAACTAACTGGTAACAACTTAGTGTCAAAGAAATACCTAATTTCCAATTAATGCTAATGATACAGTTTTTCCTATCATTATCCCGTCATACAATATAAGGGATAGGGACTCAATAAATTTTTCTCAGGGATTCAACTGATGGATTGTCCTCATACTGAACCTATCAGATCAATTTCAGGATTGAAATTTTTAGTGATTCAGGTTTTAAACATGACTATTCTCTTCTCTGTACTGAGCAAACCATGTAGTCTAAATTGATGGCAGCTTCATTAAGTGTTTTCTTGACTAAGACTGTACTAAGATTTGTTTTACCAAAAGCGAGTCTGCTTTCCAGTACGAGTGCTGTGCTCTTGTCATGAAGTAACACTTTTCATTCGAACTCCAAAACCTGCTCTCTTAGCTTGGTAGGAACACCACTAACTTGGAAAGCACAGTGTGGGTAGGCATCATGATACTGGAAAGCAAGATCCTAGGCAAGATGCTGAGGCAGGACGCATTCAAGGGCTTAGGAGATGACTTGTTTTATAAACATTCAGTGCAAAATGAATCACTAGAGCAGGATAAACTTAATGTCCTCTATATGCTTCCCCCCTAAAAGTATGCGAGAATCAATACCACCACCACCACCTCCAGTGCACATGCACACACACACACACACACACACACCCAGAATGCTTGGGAAATCTCAGGGATATCAAAGGTCCTACAAAAACAGGGCAAGACATATTCAGACATAACAGGCAGGCAAAAATCTAACAGCAAGTTGAAGGAAACTAAGAGGGCACAGTTGCCCAGAAAAGAATGAAGACATGCCAAGAGCAGGTTTGGCTGTCACTCAAGTTCACCAGTAATAAGTCATGTTTACAGACTCATACAGACTTTCACATCACTCAGTGACTTTTCATAAATATTTATTGGTGTTATCCACAGAATTTAAGCTATTCTTCTATTTAAAAAACTTCAAATTCTACAGTGAGTTTGACTACAGGTATTTTTAAATATTTATAAAATTTTTGATATTACATACAAACAGTAGTTTTTGTAGGTGAGGATTTTATTTTCTTCAATTCTGAAACTGACACACTTCCTCAGGAAAGAAATTTCTAAAAACAAACATTGCATATTAGTTAAAATTATTTATTCAAAATATAAAATTTTATCCCAATTATTTGATGTTTAATGCAATTTTGTTGTGAAGGCTTTTGTGTTTTTCCTGAAATGTCTGACTTTAATGAAGGCTTCTCATCATTCAGGATGTTGACAATTTTTTCTTCACATGAAGTCTCTGATATACAATAAAACTGAATACTTATAGTTCTTCTGAAATGAATTATATTAATAGGATCTCATCCCAGTCTAATAGAGAGACAGCAAAACAACGCATTTAATAGGTCAAATCTGAGAGCTCAGTGGACAAAAACTTAATTCTTCCTTGAAAGACAAACAACTGATGAAGATCTGGAAGCAGAGAATTATATTCCAGATATTCAGACTCTAGCTTTTTTTGACCTTGTGCTCCACCACATTCAACACACAAAAACCAAATTGCTGTGGAAATCATCTCAATCCCATCATACCATGGACCAGGAAGACTATAAGATATTTAAGGGCCAGGACTAAATGTAATATATATCATTAGCATCATATTCTTTGGTCAGCCCATCTGGATGAATGAGATTGGGATTTTCAAGAAGCTATAAGCCTAGTAGAAAAGGAAAATGTTAAGAAAAACAATTTTCCAGTCTACATGACAAGAGTTTCTCTGCTGTGTGATATAAAAGAAGGTATGAGGTAATTCAGGACTTCTCAAATTCATGATGTGTAAGGGTTTTCTCTCTGGTATGCACTCTGATGTGATGTACTCTAAGAGCTGCCTTACGAACAAAAATTTTCCCACATTCACCACATTCATAGGGTTGCTCCCCTGTGTGAACTCTCTGGTGTACTCTGAGAGTTGACAGGTGGGCAAAACCTTTCCCACATTCATTACACTCATAGGGTTTCTCCCCTGTGTGAGTCCTCTGGTGTGCACTAAGCTGTGACTTCTGGGAGAAAGTTTTCCCACATTCATTACATCCATAGGATTTCACATCTGTGTGAATTCTCTGATGCACTCTAAGGGATGAGTTAAGGGCAAATGGTTTCCCACATATATTACATTCATAAGGTTTCTGCCCTGTGTGAACTCTCTGATGTGCACTAACATATGACTTTCCAGAGAAAGTTTTCCCACATTCATTACATTCATAGGGTTTCTCCCCTGTGTGAGTCCTCTGGTGTACATTAAGGTGTGACTTCTGGGAGAAAGTTTTCCCACATTCATTACATTCATAGGGTTTTTGCCCCGTGTGAGTCTTCTGGTGTACATTAAGGTGTGACTTCCGGGAGAAAGTTTTCCCACATTCATTACATTTATAGGGTTTCTGCCCTGTGTGAACTCTCTGATGTGCACTAAGATATGACTTCTCAGAGAAAGTTTTCCCACATTCATTACATTCATAGGGTTTCTCCCCAGTGTGAGTCCTCAGGTGTGTATTAAGGTGTGACTTCTGTGAGAAAGTTTTCCCACATTCATTACATTGATAGGGTTTCTGCCCTGTGTGAGTCCTCTGGTGTGCCCTAAGGTGGGAATTCTGGGAGAAAGTTTTCCCACATTCATTACATCTATAGGATTTCACACCTGTGTGAATTCTCTGATGCACTCTGAGGGATGAGTTAAGGGCAAATGGTTTTCCACATATATTACATTCATAGGGTTTCTCTCCTGTGTGCACTCTCTGATGTGCCATAACATATGACTTCCCAGAGAAAGTTTTCCCACATTCATTACATTCATAGGGTTTCTCCCCTGTGTGAGTCCTCTGGTGTGCATTAAGGTGTGACTTCTGGGAGAAAGTTTTCCCACATTCATTACAGCCATAGGATTTCACACCTGTGTGAATTCTCTGATGCACTCTAAGGGTTGAGTTATGGGCAAATGGTTTCCCACATATATCACATTCATAGGGTTTCTCCCCTGTGTGAATTCTCTGATGTGTACTAACATATGACTTCTCAGAGAAAGTTTTCCCACATTCATTACATTCATAGGGTTTCTCCCCTGTGTGAGTCCTCTGGTGTGCATTAAGGTGTGACTTCTGGGAAAAAGTTTTCCCGCATTCATTACATCCAAAAGATTTCACACCTGTGTGAATTCTCTGATGCACTCTAAGGGTTGAGTTAAGGGCAAATGGTTTCCCACATATATTACATGCATAGGGTTTCTCCCCTGTGTGAACACTCTGATGTGCACTAACATGTGACTTCTTAGAGAAAGTTTTCCCACACTCATTACATTCATAGGTTTTCTCCACTGTGTGAGTCCTTTGATGTGCCCTAAGGTGTGACTTCTTGGAGAAAGATTTCCCACATTCATTACATTCATAGGGTTTCTCCCCTGTGTGAACTCTCTGATGTGCACTAACATTTGACTTCTCAGAGAAAGTTTTCCCACATTCATCGCATTTGTAGGGTTTCTCCCTTGTGTGGATTCGGTGATGGGCCCTGAGGGCTGAATTAGCAGCCAAAGTTTTCCCACATTCACTACACTCATAGGGTTTTCCCCCTGTATAAATTCTCCGATGTGTACAGAAGTGTGTTCTTTGGGAGAAAGTCTTCCCACATTCATTACATTCATTCGGTTTCTCCCCTGTGCGAATTCTTTGATGCACTATCAGGGCAGCCTTATAGACATAAGTTTTTCTGCATATGTTACATTCATAGGGTATTTCCATTGTGTGAATTTTTTCATGTGCACTGAGGTATGACTTCTGAGAGAAAGTTTTCCCACATTCACCACATTCATAGGGTTTTTCACCTGTGTGAATTCTATGATGGTTACTGAGGTGTGTCTTTTGAGAAAAAGTTTTCCCACATTCATTACATTCATAGAGTTTCTCCCCCATCTGAATTTTCTGATGTGCTCTAAGCACTGAATTACGGGTAAAAGCTTTCTCACATTCATTACACTCATAAGGTTTCTCCCCTGTGTGAATACTGTGATGTTTTCTGAGAGCTGAATTATGGGTAAAAGGTTTCTCCGAATCAGTACATTCATAGGGCTTCCTACCTGTGTGAATTCTCTGATGTACTCTTATAGCTGAATTGTAGGTAAAAGATAGCCCACATTCATTACAGTCATAGGGTTTCTCACCTGTGCGAATTCTCTGATGTGCTTTTAGGGCTGAATTACAGGTAAAAGATTTTCCACATTCAATACATTCATAGGGTTTCTCTCCTGTGTGGATTCTCTGATGTGCATTGTGGTGTGTCTTGTCAGAGAAAGTTTTCTCACATTCAATACATTCACAGGGTTTGTCACCTGTGTGAATTCTCTGATGTGCTCTGAGATGTGAGGACGTGAAGAAAGTTTTCCCACATTCAATACATTCATAAGGTTTCTCCTCAGTGGGAATTCTCCAATGTTCTTTGAGACATGCCATATTGAAGAATGTTGTCCCACATTCACTGCCTTCACAGAGATTCGTCTTTGTTTCTGTTCTCTGATGTCCTACAAGGGGTGACCTGTAAGATTTCCCACAGTCATTGTTACCATAAGTTTTCTCCTTTGTGTGAATTCTCACATGTTCACTAAGGTTTGACTTCTGACAGAAAGTTTTCCCACATTCATTACATTCATAAAGTTTGAATCCCACATAAGCTCCAGAATGCTGAATACAGTGTGAACTTGTATAAAAGGATTTCCCACGTTCTTCATATTGAAGTTTCTCCCCTGAGTGGGTCCTCGGATACCAAATAAGGTGTGCTTTCTGGTGAAAGTATTTTCTGCATCTCCCATATTCGCCAGAACAGCAGAATTTCTCTTCTTTATGAGTTCTCTGATGTATTGTAAGGTCTAATTTCTGGTAGAAGGTATTTGTGCATCCATTATATTCACAGACTTTATCTCTTCCAGTTTGTGTTTTCTGACGTACTACATGAGCTGAGCTCTGGCTAAACTTGTCTTTATATTTACTGCTTTCAAATGCACTCTGTTCTATAACAGTTCTGTGAGACTGAAAGAAGGATGACTTGTCACTGAAATTAATCCCACTTTCATTAAATTTATGGCGTGTCATAGCCATGTGAACTTTATTGTACTCCACAATGGTGGCTCTGTTACAGGATTTCCTACAGTCATCAAGACCAGAACATTTTTCCCTTGTGTCAGTTGTCATGTAGTGAAATAAAAAGGTTTTATCACAGTTTATCCTAAATTCATCATCCTTAGAGGACTTCTCTTTTGTTACAAAAGTCTCTGCCCTAATATAGACAGTCTTGTCAGATAAAACATTTCCAAATTCATTATATTCAAAAGACTGCCCCAAAGTTTGAAATTTCTGATACTGATCTTTCTTATAACTGTGAGCTTTCACATTTTTATTATATTCATAAGATTTCTCTCCAGGATGAGTTTTCTCATGCTTGAAATCAAGCTGCAATTTCTCAGACACATTCATGTAATCAACCTTCTTTCTTGAATAGTTTCTTTCACTTATAATTAACTCAGAAGCAACTGGCAAATTCCTTCTACACAAGTCACATTGATGGGGTATTTTTCCTGAAAACTCTGGAGCTATGCCCAGATTTAATGGTCTTTCTAAAACTTTCTGTTCTTCTTTATTCAATGTTTTGTCATTGTCATCAATGAATATTACTTGACACAGAGGTTTCTTTTGTTTTTCCTGGATCTCTTGTATGTTGTCATCAATTTTATAATATCCTAAAATGAAAGAAATTGAGAACATATTATAAATCTTACACTTTTCATGGAGAGGGACTTGTACCCATGTTTTGTTATGTATTTTATTCTATTGTTTCTGGTCATGTTTCCAAAGACTAAAAACGTACACAGATAGATACTCTTTCTTGTTCCTCTTCCATAATGTTTAAAGAAATAGGTGCTATTTTCATCCATTATGGAGTAGGCCCTTTCCTTCCAGATCTTCCTTCTTACAATTAAAAATCCTTGCAAGAAAAAACAAAATGAACAAACATAGAAAGACTCTACAAAATAGAAAAATGTGAACCTCAGATCTTAAGAAATGACACAACAGAGAATTCCAAAGCTATTCTTTCTGCTTCCCATATATCCTAGACAGAGTGCTGAAGAAACCTACACTCTGGAGCCAGCAACAAAAAAAGCTCCAAGAAAAAAAAGCCTGTTTCTTCTAGCCAAAAGTAGTTTAACAGAACCGAAAACATGTTTCACAACATCCACATACTCATGCAAAACAAAAACGGAATGCTTCTGTGGTTCCATGAAGGCTGACCAAGAAGCTAACCTTCCACTGCAATGGATACAGATGATCTGTGTGCTCTTGTAATATTTCCCTCTGTGAGCCAAATGGGGAACTCATAGAAAAGATCATAGAGGATCCTGAGAAAGTTCCATCTTCAGGATATGCTGGAAGATGTAACAGGAGCTGCTGCCAAAATTCTGCCCAGAAATATATTCTTATCGGCCAGGCTCGGTAGATTAGCTTGTAATCCCAGCACTTTGGGAGGCCAAGGCAAGTGGATTGCCTGAGCCTGCAGATTTGAGACTAACCTGGGCAACCTGATGAGACCTCATTCTACAATAAATAAAAAAATCAGTTGGGAGTGGTAGCACCTGTAGTTTTGGCTACTTGGAAGGCTGAGGTGGAAAGATTGCTGGAGCCTAATAGTTCAACACTGGAGTGGCCTGGACGACTGACTGAGACTCCAACTCAAAAAAAAAAAAAAGAAATATATTCTTATCTAATTTATGGAACAAATATATTCATCTGCAAGAGCAACAATAAATCTGCTGTTTTAGGGCACTAGCAAGCACTCATAGCAGCTAGAAGAAGAAAAGTAGCACAGAAACATGAGAAGAGGCAGGAATACCTGGTAGGCCCAACTATAGGGAGAAGAGATAAAGTAGCACTTGGGATAACCACACCTTCAAACTCGAGGACACAGTGCTTTCAACAACAACTAAACTCACATTGTCTCAGATGCACATGGAACATTCATAAAAATAGAATGCATTCTTGGCTGTTAGACAAATCTTCACAAATACAAAACAGAAATCATACAAAAGATGTTCTTGAGCTACAGAGAAATTATACTAGAAATTAATAAAATTTTTTTACTTGGAGAAATACAAAATATTTATTAATGATATTCTTCTAATTTACCCATGGGTGAAAGAAGTAGGTTCAAAAAAGATATTTTGAAGTGTATGAAAACAACACAAAAAATACAGAAATTTCTGAATGCAACTAAAGCAGTGTTCAGACATAAATATGTGGTTTAAAATTTTTATATTTGAAAAGAAAGACCTCCGGATACTTAAGTTCCCACTTTAAGAAACTAGACAAAGAGAGAAAATTAAATCTAAAGAAAATAACAAAAGAAAAACAGGAAAGATTAGACAATAAAACTGAAAACAGAAAACAGCACAGAAAATCAAACCAAAGCTTAGTTATTTAAAAAGATTTTTTTTCAATGATAAGCAGGAAAAAAAAAAAGTCAAATTGTTAATAACAGAAATGCAAGAGGGGAAATTACTGACACAATAGACATTCAACAGATAATAAGACAACATGGGTGACTATAATAAATTAAGGTTTATTAATTTAAGTTAATAAATTAATAAATTAAGTTAGCCTCCCATAAAGAGATTTAGAGGGTCCCTGGAAGGTGGGGCAGCATCGGCAAATATTCTGGAGAAATAAAGAGAAAGAAAGAGAAGAGGGGAGAAAGAAAGATACTGGACTCTGTCTAGTGCAGAAACCGATTCTGTAATAGGGATAGATATTAAATGAAAGAAAGATGGGGGATAGATATAAAGAGGAAGAAAGAGAAAGAAAGAAAGTAGATAGCTGTTCAGTGAAATGAGTAGAAGCCATTTAATGGTACCAACCGTAAGTCTTTTATTCCAAATTTTCACATGTTAAATCACAAGACTTTCATGTGAACACAAGGCCAGGTGGATGAGGCGCATCCCCCCCACCCACCAGGTGTTTCCTTAAGCATGAGGAAGCACAATCCCAATCAAATCTCAAGAGTATTACGTGAACACAAAGCCAGGTAGATGAAGCGCATCCCCCACCCACCAGGCATTTTCCCAAGCATGAGGAAGGAAAATCCCCAAAATTATCTCACTGTTCCTTATGCTTGGTTTATGTTCTTCAATAATAATCCTAATAATCAATAACTTCTAAAACTTATGCATACCTAACACCTAATGACTGACTTAAATCCTAATACCTTTCTATTCTGTGCTAACTTTACCTGTACTATAAAAAACTCTTAATTATAGCTCAGACCAGTTCCTAAAGAATGTGGCCCAGTTCAAAGATCACGCTGGGCCGTTTCCAGAATCAATTAATTATGATCTCTTAACAAAATGGCTATTCTAAAATCCTATGTATCTATCTTAATTTCTATAAAAGTTTCTATTTCCTAATCCTAATATATAAAGCTGATCATCAGCAATAAAACTTCTAAAATAAAAGCCAAATACAAACTGTAATTGTACTAAAGCCAAAACTGCAATTAGTAGAAAGTGGGAACAATGAAATTTCTAAAGTTAGCTGTATTCTTATAAAACCTTAAAGTATCATGTTTGATCATGCTTGAACTAACATAATTCCCTCACATAGCATGACCTATTCTACAATACTTTCTATGAATAAAATAAATTCAGTTTCTAGTATAAGTAGAAAAAAGCCTACACCAATTGTAGCTAAAGAACCTGTTTAAAAGAATGCAGTCCAGCCCAAAGTGGACACTGAGCCCTTAGGAATGTGGCCCAGTCCAAAGTTCATGCTGGGCCATTTCTGGTAACCCTAATCATCTATACCGTCTAAAGCTGGAAACAGCTCTCTAAATGTATATACTAATTCTACAAATATACTTTTAAATCTTATAAAGAAGCTTGTATCATGTACAAGGCCCCCAAATGTGATGTGAGTTTGAATTGTGTTAAGTTTAAAGCCGAAACTGCAGTCTGTGAGAAATGGGAACAATGGATCCCTAGAGTCAGTCATGCCTGTCATATTCTCAGAACTTCATGCTTAGATCATCAAAGTCCCTGCTAGTGGGTCATGCCAAACAACAAAGAATGGAGGAGGGAATGGGCCTTCAGTTCCTGAACCAAACCTGGTGGTTTCAGGGTCTGCAGCCCACCTGGATCCCTAACGCTCAGGCAGGCCTCCACGGCTAGCTCCCAACAATTGTACTTTTTCTTCCAGGAATTATATTGAAAACTATCATTTTTTTCAAATTTATGGAATCATTTATTAGTATAGACAAAGGCTAAGATGCATATGAAAAGATGTTTGACATCATTAGTGACAAAGAAACTGTTATGAACTGTGTCCCATCCCCAAATTCACATGTTGAAGAACTAACCTCCAGTAATACTATATTTGGAGATAAGGCCTTTAGGAGGTAATCCGGGTTAAAATGAGGCCATAAGGATGAAGCCTTAATCCAGTAGCACTGGAAAAAAAAAGAAAAAACACCAGGGTGCTCTCTCTCCCCCCCAGCGGCTACGCACAGAGGAAAGGTCATGTGAGAACACACCAATAAAGGTGGTTTTCTACAAGCCAGGAAAGAGAGGCCTCACCAGAAACCAACTTACTGGCATCCTGATCTTGGACTTTCAGCCTCCAGAACTGAGAGAATTTCTGTTGCTTAATCCATTCAGTCTGTGGTATTTTATTATGACAGCCCTAGCTGCCTAATAAAGAAAAACAAATCAATATCACAAGGGAATGCCACTTCACATTCACCAGGATGGCTGGAATCAAACAAATGTTGGTAAGAATATGGAAAAATCAGAATCCCTATGGGCTGTTGTTAGGAATGGAAAACGGTGATGTCATTTAGAAAAACAGCCTGGCAGTTCCTTAATCAGATAAACAGAGGTACCACACGACACAGAATTTCATGCCTAGGCATAAAAACATATGTCCATGCAAAAACTTGTAAATGAATGTTTATATCAGCATGATCCATAATAGCCAAAAGGTGGTAGTCCAAGTATCTACTGACTGATGAATGGAAACACAGGCATTATATCCAAACAATGAAATAGTATCTGGTCATAAAAAGGATGAAACACTGATATATGCTATAACATGAACGTTTTAAACATTAAGTTAAGCAAAAGAAGCCAATCACAAATGACCACATGGTATATGATTCCATTTATACAAAACGTCCAGAATAGGCAGATCTGCAGAGACACAAGTAGATTAATGTCTACTTAGAGCTGGAGGAGTCAGGGGTATAGAAGAGTGACAACTAAAGAGTACAGATTTCTTTTTGAGGTGATGAGCTTTGTACATAGAGTCGTCACTTGGAGGATTGGATCTAGGACTCCTTTGAATACCAAAATCTATGGATGCCCAAGTCCTTGATAAAAAATGGCACAGTATTTACATATAACCTATGCACATCCTCTGGTATATTTTAAATCATCTCCATATTACTTATACTAGTCTCATAAACAGAGATAGTAGACAGTTGTATACTATATTGTTTAGGGAATAATGACAAAAAAGTCTGTTCATTTTCAGTAGATATGCATTTTTAAAAAATAGTTTCAAACTATAATTGCTGGAATCCATGGATGCAGAACCCATGGATACAGAGGGCAGACTGTATCTATGAACACATTAAAAGCCATTGAACTATACACTTTGAATGAATTGTATGAGATGTGAATTATAACTCAAAAGAGCTGTTACCCCCCCAAAAAACTTTTAAAGGTGCTCTTCCGCTATGATCTAACTACCCCAAGGCTCCTTCTGTCAACACTCACTTACCTGGGTACTTCCGGTTTAGGAATTTGACTTCTAGGGACCATGGTTCTTCTCCTTGCTCCAACATGAGGATAACCTTAGGTTTGGTAATGCAACACCCTGTAATGAAATAATTGAGGGTATAAATGGACCAGATCCATGAGCACTTGCATATGAAAAGACACAGCTATAAAAGCATTAACTGAGAATATTCATCTGATGTTTTTGAAGGGAAGATAAAGACAAAAACTGTTTTAGTTTCTGTAAAGGATTCAACTAAATTAGAACTTTTAAACCAAAGTCTATGAAGACTTTAATCTCTATAAAGAATCTATGTGTCTTGATAATTCTTTTAAAAAAAAGCAAACATGCTGCAGAAGGAGTCCCGCAGGAGGTCCACTCACCCAATGCGACGAGGTGGCCATAGTTCTCCAGCGTCACATCCCTGTACAGGCTCCTCTCCCCGGGGCCCATCTGCTGCCACTCGTCCCGGGTGAGCTCCACGTTCACGTCCTCGAATGACACGGATCCCTTCAGCAACATATTTTGTTCAAGGTTTCGGAATTAGGTGACACAGAAAATTCCTGAGAACTTTTCCTGTTTACCCTTGAGGCTCAAAAACAGTTGGTTATAGAGGCTTATTTTGGACGAAATTTCATCTTAAAACTTGTCACTCAGCTAGTTTAAAAGGTTTCTAATTTACCATACCACATCTATATACATTTATGAATTCCAGATGTTTTTAAGAGTGAAAAATTCAATGTAATGAAACCTTCTACAACTCTTCTTGCACATTCCCAGGATGATCGTATTCTCTAGGAAGTTCACACCCTCCTTGAACATCATCCATGTAAATACTGGGAGCCAAGGAAGAAATACATGTGAGTGCTAGAGAGATATCTGACCAAACTTATGTATAAGTAAATATATGAAAACAGAGAAATCTAGAGCTCATGAAGAACAAGGAACAGCTTACAAAGAAGTTGGAACCAATGAAACCATAGTAAGAAAACACTATGTACACTGAGGTAACAGCAATCGACATAAGAATAGTATATAATCACAAAGCAGAAGCAGCAACCATCTGGTGATTATTGCTTGAGGTGTTAACCTAGTCTAGCTGTGCGAGAAGCCTCTCTCTGTGTTTTTTTGTATTATTTTGTTATTAATTCACAGAAAGACATATCTTTCAAATAAGATCTCACTTATACATGGAATCTAAAACAGTAAAATGCATAGAAGTAAAGAAAGAATAGAATGGTGGTTACCCAAGTCTGGGGGAGAGAGGGAGAGAACCAGGAGATGTTGGTTACAGGATACAAAGTTTCCATCAGAAAAGAGGAACAAGTTTTCAAAATACTGAACAGCATGGTGACTCTAGTTAATAATAATATAATGTATGTTTCAAAATAATCAGCTTTTGATGGTGTCAAAAACTGACAATTGAGAAACAAAAGGAAAAATGTGTGAGACGTTTGAGTGTGAGATCTGTTCTGGTTGCTGCAAAGGGGTGTGTGAGACATAAAGCTGGAACTGCCCTTTAAACCAATATACATGATTTCAGAGCACAGAAGGCAAGTCTAGGATGAAGACAAACAGTTAGGAGTCATTAGCATTCTAGCTGGTAACTGAAGTTATTAGAGACAATCGGACAGCTCCTTGAGCACATTGGGATTAAGGGAAGAGTACCAAAACAAAAACACTTGAGGACCACATATATTAAAGAGGCTGGCAGAAGACGTACAGGCAAGAAGTCAGAGAACAAGGTTTCTGAAAAATAGTATAGAATCCAGAGGAGAAAACTTAGAAACTAAGAAAACGGAAAGTTTCTATACCAAAAGACTTCAAATTCAAGCCAACAAGTGATATCAGCAAAAATACTGAAGATGAGAAAATTCTCTCTTCCATAAAAATAATGAGAAACGCAGCAATTGCAGAATCAACTTTTTCTGCAAGCTCATCAAAGGCTTCAAGCAATCTCTACAAGAATATTTATACCAAAAAAAAGTATACATTATGCCTGTAATCCCAGAGGACTTCCTGAGTTCAGGGGTTCGAGAACAGCCTGGGCAACATGGCAAAACCTCGCCTCATAATAAACCAAAAAATTAGCTGGGTGTGGTGGCACACACCATAGTTTTAGCTACTAGGAAGGCTAAGATGGAAGGATCGCCTGAGCCCAGCAGGTTGAGGTTGTAGTAGCCATATCACTCGAGCATGGATGACACAGTGAAACTTCAATTGAAAAAAAAAAATTGAAAATGTTTTTTAAAAAGGCTGCAACATTGGGAGAACCAGAGTTCTGCATCATCTTAACTTGTCCTATTTTCATCCATCTCTCTCCAGTTCCACATTAGCTTTGAGAACCAATCATCTGAGATAAGAGCAAAAACCAGTAGCCTGGCAACCACTGGAGGAGTCAGAAGTGGGTTCGAGTTGTCAAAGGCCTGTTCCCAGAAAACTGTCATTATTTGACTTAATAGGATGGTTCCCTGGAAGACCTCACTTACAAGGCTGATTACTGAACTAACTGAGAGTTTCCACCCTGGATGAAAAAACCAGTGTTCCAAGGCATTAGTCAAAAACATTCAAAGGCAACTTTAACCTCCCTGCTCGCTGGGTGGTGGATAAACTGTTGGGGTAAGTAATCACCTAATAAAAAGCTTTATTTAAAGGACAAGCTGGAGGATGAAATGTCCATAAAGGTTTGAAAAACTCTGATATATTCCTGAGAATATAGAAGCCCACTTACATGCACTGAGCTGAGAATGTGCCCAGAACTGTGATACGCTCAGGAAGGACATGAGAAGGCTCTAAGCTGTCACTTCTGAGTGACCTTAAGGTTTGGAGAAAGTAGGAAGTGAGGACTAATATAGAGTTGTAAATGGCCTGGATGACTGCTGGAGAAATGCCACAGCACTCACAAGGCCCCTGGAAAAGACTAGGACACTTGCTTGGTTTCAGGCATTTAAGGAAATTTCTGCAGAGACTTCTGCTGCCACACACAACAAATACAGGCACTACTGAATTCGTTTTAAAAAGTCACTGGACAGGCCAGGCACAGTGGCTCATGCCTATAATCCCAGCACTTTGGGAGGTGGAGGCAAGAGGGATTGCCTGAGCCCAGGGGTTTGAGATCAGCCTGGAAAACATAGCAAGACCTTGTTTCTACAATAAATCAGAAAATAAGCCGGGCATGGTGGCATGTAACTGTGGTGCCAGCTACTTGGAAGAATGCAGTGGAAGGATCGCCTGAGACCAGCAGATGGAGACTGCGGTGGCAGTGAACATGCCACCTCACTCCAGCCTGGGTGACAGAATGAGACTCCAATTCAAAAAAAAAAAGTCACTGGACAGATTTCAACAAAAACCCCTGGGAGGATAAAAATTCTTCTACAGTTGCCATATTTTACTAAAATGTCCTGTTTTCAACAAAAAAAAATTATAAAACAAGGCCAGGTGCAGTGGCTCAGCCTGTAATCCCAGCACTTTGGAAGACCGAGGCGAGAGAATTGTCTGAGTCTAGGGATTCGAGACCAGCCTAGGTAACTTGGCGAGACCTCATCTCTACAATAAATCACAAAATCTAGGCTGGTGTGCTGGCATGCATCTCTAGTTACAGCTACTTGGAAGGCTGAAGCGGTAGGACTGCTTGAGGCCAGCAGGTCGAGGCTGCTGTGGCCATGAGCATGCCACTGCACTACAGTCTGGGTGGCAAAGAGTGAGACTCCAACTTAAAAAAAAAATTACAAAACAAGAAAAAAAAAGTAAGACCCATATGCAGGAAAAAAGTAATCAACAGAAATTGCTCCTGAGGAAGTGGATATTGGACTTAACTAGACAATGACTTTAAATCAGTTATTTTAAATATGGTTAAAGACCTAAAAGAAATGATATCTAAGAACTGAAGGGAAGTGTGTCACCAAATAAAGACATAAAGAGGCAGAAATTATAAAAAGGAACCAAACAGAAACTCTAAAAGTAAAGAGCACAATAACTAAAATGAACATTTCACCAAAAAAGTCCATTCAACAGCGGAGCTGAGTAGGTGGAAAAAAGAGTGAAGCAACTAAGATAACACGTCCATTGAGACTGTGCAGTGAGAAACAGAAAGAAAAAAGTAATAACAAAAAAATGAACCATAGGACAACATCAAGCTTACCAACATATGCATAATGAGAGTACAGGACAGAGAAGGGAGACAGAAAGGGTCTAACACAATTTTTGAAGTAACAGTGGCCAAGAGGTTCCAAAAATGTGAAGGACATGATTAATCTACACACTCCATAACCTCAACTACAAGTAAGATAATCTTGGAGAAAGAAATCCACACCTGGATACAGTATAATCAAAGTTTTAAAACAGCCAAAGACAGATAATCTTGAAAGCCGCAAGGGAGAAGCAACCTATCATATTCAAAGTGGATTTCAAATGAGAAACCATGAAGAACAGAAGGCAATGGGATGACATATTCAAAGTCAGTAGGACAAGAGAAGATGATGAGTCCATGGAGACAGCAGCAGGGGAAGGATAGGCCAGTGGAAAGTATCACTCACAGAGAAACATTCCAGGACAGAGTGAGAAGCGGAGGCAAGAGGTGAAGAAAAGTCAAGTAAAGAAAGGATAAGATAATGCCCACTGGATTTGATTATAATCCAGTAGGGTCACTGAAAGCCACAGGCAAGTGGGAAGAAAAACCAAGGTGTCACACAGACATTTGAAGTTGAATGCAAACTGTGGAGACATCTGAAAAAGAACAGAATTTTACATCATCTGCTAAAAAACCTGAATATCATGGATACTCAGAATATTTATGGAGTGTTATTTTTAAAGACATTCAGTTGATTCATTGCCAAAATGTCTAATTTAACCCCATTTTGAATTCTTGAGAAGTGAGTGAGTAACAAGTGAGTTAGTGCTCAACATGACATTTTCTAATTCTATAGAGGAAAAAGTAAAGAAAACATTCTATGCTATGTAATGAGTTAATCACCTACTTGTAGAACAATTACATCTATATTTCATGAGGAATCAGTTTGCTTTATCTTTCTCATCAATGTAAACCGTTACATAATGTCTGACCCTCTGCCAAGGTAAGTAAACACCTCAGAAATAAATGTGGAGTTCAATTTGGTAAATGTGTACCAGCAGAGGACCTGCATCTATCTACCCACATGCCGCCTCTGCTCTGCTAGTCTTCTGTATTTCTGTATCTTCTATGAATGTGTCTGACCCACTTCTGTGTCTACTTTATCATATTAAAATACAGATACATAAACCCTTACAAAATCTTTAAAAAGCCCTTATAAATGTTTGTAAAACAAACTGATTATTAAGAACCAAACTCACCTGAGCCATGTTCATTTACTGCTGCTCCTTGAAGAGAGTAGAGGCCAGAAAGTTCACCTGGAGAAGAGGAAAGAACAAGGGGGTCATGAGAGACTTGTTCTGCCTTATAATTCCTTTAGAGGAGTTCTCAATTATGACATTTACAATGGTTTTACTGGTACGTAATCTCAACATTATCGAGATGTGTCTGTGCTCACCTGCCTAAAATTCTCATCACACCCAACTGGAGAAAAGGTTTCCCAATGGGGAATGTCACTTTGACTCTTGAAAAGGAAGAGAAGGACCACACAAAGGTAGCAGCACTTGAACGCATTCATCTCTGATATTAAGTCCACTTAACCCTGCATTTTTCACTGGATGTGGTAAAAACTGTATTTTGTTAATTTAGTAACAATTTATGTTCCTTGTGACTACCTGTCAAATTTGTTAAAATAATACAACAGAAGATTAACTTCACATGTTCAGGTACACAGAGGTGAAACCCTCTATCCTCATTCAACATAATATCCCCCCAAAAAACAACTCAGGTGGAATTAGTAAGCAAATTCTTACTGTCTTTACACCCTGAGTTAGAGCTTCCACAGAAAACTCTAAAGTAAAGATGAAATGTTGTATACAAGGAATATGTTTTTCAAATTTTTGTTCAACAATGGTTGCCGATTCTTAAAAGACCTTTTGATAAGATGCTTATGACAGTGACCTGTGTGTGAACAGAACCATGCTTAGTTCCTGGGTCTGCCCTGGGTGACTATACACAAGTCATTAATTTCAGGCTCCATAAGAGGAGGAACCCAAAAAGCCCCAGAATTTATTTAGTAAAAAAATGGTGTACTTATTTTTACATGTTCAAACTTCAGTCACCCTCAAAGCACTCTTCGTTTGATTCAAGAAGCCTATCGAGACACTTGTTCCACTGCTCAAAACAGTTTCTAGGCTCGTCAATGTTGGTGCCTTTTAGTGCTTGTGCTGTTTTTTATTTCACCTCTTCCACACCCACAAGATGTTTCCCTTTGAAGACTTTTCCCAGAGAAACAGATCTGGGTGAGATCAGGTGAATAGAGAGGGTGGGGTATGGAGGTCATGTCATTTTTTGTCAAAAACTGATGAATACTCAGGGTGGGGTGGGCAAGTGCACTCATAAGCCACCATAATGAAATGGGCAAACGTGTTAAGTTGCCAAAAAAAAAAAAAAAAAAAAATTATAATAACTGAAGCCGAACACAGCCTCTCACAATACTGCTAGCTGGTACACTGATGCTGGTGGGTTCCTAGAACACTTGCGGGGAAAAACCTGTACTACAAGGGGTCTGCCCTCTAAAAGATAACTGATTTTTTTGGGCGGGGGGCCCCCCCTCATATTTTGGGTTTTCCAGCATAAAAAGTTCTCTCCCTCTGGTATCATTTGTTATTATCTATGTTCAAGAAAGGAGTGTCAGCATAACTCTAAATGTCACATGTAGTAATGAACGTGGTGTGACAGCTACTCAAAGTGCAGAAAAAGTAACGGAAAAATGAAGAAAATGGGGTGTCATTTAGGATTTTGTCAGCTGACTATATTTTCTCTGGACACCATGGCCTCACCAGCCCTCTAGTAAAGTACCTTTTTCTCCTCAGCTTGACAGTCAACCCTCTCAACCCCAGGTCACCACGTTCTGCAAGTTAGTACACATCATCCCTGGTGACACAGTCCGTAACAGCTCCTGAATGTGGTAACATTATAAGTCTTACTCATGCTATGCAGGGAACCAAGAACTACCTCAGGTGAGAACTTGCATCCTTGTAGAATCTTCTGCCTCTGCCCTGAAGCCCTGAAACAGGTTTCTGTCAAACAGGCTGTTCTCAGTGGCAGGACCTGGCATGGACTCCCTCTTTCCAGCCTCTTGTCACAGTTGCTTTCTTTCAGAAGGGCTGGGACTTGGCCTGAAAAACAAATTCACTTTACCTGAAACTTTCATCTAGCACCCTAAGCCTGACTCTTTGGGAATTCACCAGAAACGTGCTATCCAATACTGTAGCCATTAGCTGCATGCAACCACTAAACACCTTGAGTGTGGCCAGCGCCACGAGTCAAGATAACATTTTGAATGCAATGACTCAAGGAAAACACATCAGCAAAACTGGCTCTGCCTGCCTCTTCTGCCTGTAGCTGCTAAAAAATTCTAAAGGAGGCTTGTGTTTTTCATCAACTTTCTACTGGACATCACCGCCCCCGAATAGGAATCTGTACCCTTGAGGGAAGAGGCAGCCTAAACCGCGCTGGAGAGTCCAGAAGCCTCAGTCCAACCATGGAACTGGAGACTGCACAAATCTCAGGATAGAGTTACCACTTGGTGAGATCTATCCACGTTCACTTCACGGTCACGTAGGGAGATCTGAGCACTGACCCCTCTGAATAAGTGCTCTCAAGATTTCAGGGAAGTCTGCTATCAGGAAGAGCAAGAGACAGGGAGTCAAGCCCACCTGGATGAGCCTTCTACCCTCTCACCTCCTAGCTTGTTCCCTGGGGTGTCCACCCTCATGAAATCCCCTGCACTGCAAAATAAAAACAAAAATAATATGGCACGTGTATAACGACCACCAGGGTCGCTGTGAGGGTTCAATGAACCGTCAAGGACGAGGACAGACAGGTGTCCCCTTATGAAGACAGCCGCTTCCATGCCACACAGCGATGGTTGCGGGCGCTGGAACACCCTTCTGACCAAGGACGACCGATTCGCTTCTCAGAACAACAGCACAAGCGACAGCCCCCCTCCACACCCACCCCCCGG